TTTATTTTTTAATGTATACATGTACACTGATAGTCCAACAGAAAACTTTATGAATCCACTTGATATTATCAGTGGGACTTTTGCTGCTGCATCACTGATGACAGAGATTTTACATCAGGTTTATATTTCGTGACCTTCAGAGATATGCACGAGCTACTACTTTCATCCGTCAGGCTACTCCTATTACGAGACTTAACAAAATTCATCACTGAGAACAAAGATTCACAAGCGTATGTGGATGAAAACATGGAGAGTAATGCTGTTGCAAAGTTTTTTAAACAGAAAAAATTTTCTGGAATGGCATTCCAAGTCCTCAATAGTTCGTTTTTGACACTATTGAAATTGCTCTTCCCCTCTCTCATCAATCCATGTCTATGGTCTTTAAGATAACTTGTTATGTAAAATTATTTATTTATCTAAGATGCACCTACACTGAATTTATCTGAAAAATAAAAAAGTCGATATTAAGAAAAAAATGTAAATGGAAGATTATAAGAGAGGGTTTCGCGTGCCAGCAAAAGTTACTGGCTTGCCATGTTTGGCACGCGTGCCAGGGGTTGCCCACCCCTGCGATAACAGGTTTGATTCAGTGGATAGAACATTGGCCTGTGGACTGAAGGGTCCCAGGTTCGATTCCAGTCAAGGACATGTACCTTGGTTGTGGGCACATCCCCAGTAGGGGGTGTGCAGGAGGCAGCTGATAGATGTTTCTCTCTCATCAATGTTTCTAACTATCCCTCTCCCTTCCTCTCTGTAAAAAAATCAATAAAATATATATTTAAAAAAAAAAAAAAAAGAGCAGGGACCATGTCCCATGTGCGTGTTGCTATGTTTCCAGAGCTGGCACAGAACCTGGCATGAGGATTCTAACCTCTTGGGAATGAGCCCCTGGATTGGGTCCACCAGAGAGTGGGCCGAGGGGAGCAAGCCTGTGACATGGGCACCCGCTGGTGCCCTTGTACGTGGCCTCCCTGCTTCCTTGCTGCTGCTCTTATTTGTCTTTTTATAACTCTTACCATCATCATGGAAATATATTACCTTAAAATTGTTGAAAATAGGCCACTTTAGGAAAATGTGCTCAGAGGATGCAAGTGGTCTCCCTGCCCACCTCCATCCTTATGCCCCAATCAGCCCCTGCTGTGTTCTGGCCCACACACTGTGCCTCATTTGTTGTCTGAATGAGGCAGCATCCTGCATTCCCCACCCTTCACCTGCTCTTCAGTGTCCCTCTCCTCAGAGTCCGTGGGTCCCCAAAGCATATCATCACTTACCCCCTCCAGCCCCTCTCTCCTCAAAGTTCATCTTCTTGCTTGCTTTGAGCCCATCACTCCCCACCACCCCACTTTCCAGTTTGTTGTCCCTGCCCCTCTCCCCTTGGCTTTCAAATGTCTTTTCAACCTAGGGGTTTGGGGGGACTTTCCTTGAGCCTCCAACTCCCTTGATCTATTATCCCTTACACCCTTCTTCCCCTCAATGCCAAAGCTCTTGAGAGAACTGTCTCTGTTTGCAGCATTCACTTTCTATCCAGCTACCCACTGTTGTTTATTATTTTAATTCACTCATTTTTGAGTAGTTAGTACATGTTCATAATTCAGGGTTCAAACCGTCCCAGAAGGTACACAATGAAACATCTCCTTCCATTGTGTCCCCAAGCCCCACCGTGCTCCTCAGAGGCAAGCTGCTACCACCATCCTGTGTCTCTTTCCAGAGAGCATGTACACATGCATATTCTTGTTTGTGTTTTGTTTTACACAAATGGAGACGTTTATGCACATTTCCTACCCTCGGCTTTTTTCACTTAAAATATCTTAGCGAGTTCTACATGAGTGTGTCCAAAGCGGCTTCATTCTTTTCAATGGCTGCCAAGAACGCTCTGTGAGGATGTACCATACATTCTCCCCGTGGACACTGGAGATGCTTCCGCCTTTTGTTCCAGCCGTCATGCTGCGAGGAGTATCCTTGCACATAGGATTTTTCCACCCCTGTGAGTGCATCTGTGGGCTAAGTCCACTGAAATGAAATTGCATTTGCATTCTGGAATTAAATTGCTCTCCATAAAAGTTGTACCCATTCACCCACCACAGCAATGTATGGGGAGGGCGGGGGGCCTCATTTCCCTTACTTTTTACCTTCCCGGGCAGCCTAAAAAACCCTCAGCAGATTGTTTTAACGAGTGTTTTTATTTTTGCCAGTCTGATAGCTGAGAAAAAATACTTTCAATTTGCCTTTCTTTTCATGAATGGGGTCAAGCATTTTCTTATGTTTAAGAGCCATTTGAATTTCTCCTGCTGTGGATTGTCTGTTCCTATGTTCTATTGCATTGTTGATCTTCTAAGGTTTCCTAAGAACTCTCTGTATAAGACAATTAGTTCCTTGACTGTGATATGAGTTGCTAATATTTCAGTCACTCCATAACCCTTTGCAATATGTCTTCTGTGCCAATAAAGCACGTGAAACTGTGGTCCTGGTTCCTGTGCACGCCCAACCCTGAAACCCAGCGCCTTCTTGCTTCCATTTGTCTCAGCATTTGACACCGCTGACCCGTTCTTCCCGAACTCTCCTTTTTTCTCTCATCGTGATTTTGTCTTGGATCATCTCCCAACCCCTCTGTGACTTCCCTTTATCCTTCTGAAATTCCTGTGGCAAGTGCCATGGGGAGAGGAGGTCTTTGAACTCTGCCGTGGCAGTGCCCTGGGCACCATCCCTTACTGAGTCCTCAGCACCTTACACCTAGCTGGATGTGCAGACTAGTGTCTGCTGGTCTGAATTCAAGGCAGGCTCAGGACGCCCATCCCCTTCTGCCCCCTCCCCCACTCCCGCCAAGGCTCAATGTGTCTAAAACCAGTCTTACCGTATCCACTCTCTCAAAACTGCCCCTCACAACGTCCACATCTCCACTGGATTCCTACGACTGGCCCAATCCTCCTAGGGCAGTGGTTCTCAACCTTCCTAATGCCACGACCCCCCAATTTCATTGTTACAAATTGAACATAATTAAAGCATAGTGATTAATCATAAAACCAATATGTAATTATATATGTGTTTTCCGATGGTCTTAGGAGACCCCTCTGAGAGGGTCGTTCAACCCCCAAAGGGGTCGCGACCCACAGGTTGAGAACCGCTGTCCTAGGGCTTGAGGGGGAGCAGAATTTGCCACCCCAAAAGATGTCTTTTGGGATATTGATTATTTTAAATTGGTTGTTTTCTAGAAACAAAAGACTCCAGGAAAACTCTTTACCTTCCCCGGCAGCCTAAAAAACATTAGCTAGAAGGCCTGCTCCAGTAAGGGCAATATCACCATAGATAACTATAGTTTAAGATAAACTAAGTGTGGTAGACAGGGGGGCATTTTATTTTATTTTATTATTTTATTTTATTTTATTTTAAAGTTTACCTTTATTTTGTTTTTGTTAATCCTCACCCGAAGATATTTTTCCATTGATTTTTAAGGAGAGTGGAAGAGAGAGGGAAAGACAGAGAAACATCAATGTGAGAGAAACCCATTGGTTGGTTGCCTCCTGCAGGAGCCCTGACCAGAGCCAGGGGAGGAGCCTCTAACCAAGGTACATGCCCTTGACAGGAGTCGAACCTAGGACCCTTTGGTCTGCAGACCGATGCTCTATCCACTGAGCCAAACCAGCTAGGGCCATGAGGCCCTTTTAATCAAGTCCTTTCTGTGTCCCATTGTTCAAGATGGCACAGCAAACATGTGTTTACCATTTGATTTTCCATTTCCATGTGAATTGCCATCCTGCCTTTTTGAAGTCACAAACCACAACATCATACACACACACACACACACACACACACACTTCCTTAGCTCCAGATGACATAGAAGCCTCAACTGCCTCATCTGTCTTCAGGGCTAATATTCTTATGGAATCCCCGAATATGCAGACATTTTTTAAACAGTGGTTATTTTCTCCTGATAATCTTTCTCATGTTCATTTGATTATTAGTCAATCCAGAAGAACTTAGAAATGTAGGAGGAAAATTCGTTTTCTTTCCACACTGCCCAAAACCTCAGCATCCCCAGCCCGGGGCCTGCTAAGTCCTACGGATTCTCCTGTGGAAGTCTTCCCCTCCGCCCCAGCCCCAGTGTCATCCTGCTTGTCACACGCCCTCCCTCTCATCCTCTCATCGGCATCCACTCCCAAGTAACACTTCCTCCTGCTGCAGTCCTGCCCACCCATCGCCCTCTGCTCAGGAAGCAGCCCCTGGCATGCAACCCCACCCCCTCCCACCCCCTTACTCATCAGCAGAGGAGTCTGCAGGAAGCCAGAAGCCAGCCTGAATTAATGAAGCCTGGATCCAAAGGAGGTACCATGGCCTCCTAGTAGTGGCAGATGGCATCTCTCCTGTTATATCCAAAGGAATCTATCTAGTTATCCCTTTGGACAAATCAGTGTTTGGAGAAAGGGTTCTGCCATTGTTATTTGTTAAACTTAGACAACCAACCAGAATGCACTCTATTCTGGTCTCCCCACTCCTTCCCTCTGCCTGGCCCCCATTTTTGCTGCCGCTGTACCCTCCCCTAAACCTCCTAGAGAAACTGGTGACCAGGGGCCATCTCTAAGATGTGCTAATCCCAAGGGCCATCCAGCCATTCCAGGCTGGTGTAAACCTGGCAAACGTTGGCCAGTGCCCCTGTCCACCTGCAGGACCCTGCTCTCCTCTCTGTCCTGTTCCGCCGGCTTCCCAACACCGGTGCAAGGACACAGCGGGAAACGGCCTCCAGCCAGGTGCACCACGGAGCCCTCGGACATTTATATTAGGAGGTCCCTGGATGGTAGAAAGAGTCCTGGCAACTTAGCATTTCCTGGCGGCGCACGCAGGACTCGGCATCCTGGTCTACGCACCCGCCTAACCCCCATCCCCACCGCCACCCCCACCCGTGACACATTCTGGTTTGCTAGGATCTGGTTGTTTGGGGCGGGGTGGGGGGAGGGGGTCAGTAGACAAGAAAGAGAGAAGGTGTGTCCTGAATGCAGGGACGGGCTCTCACTGCTGCCCAGGCCGGGAGAGGAAAGGGAGGGGAGGGGTGAGGCTCTGGAAGGGGTGGGCACCGCTGGGCTGTCCCGGGCGGACCGGGGCGCCGTGTGCGCGCGTGTGGGGAGTTGAAAAGCCCTGCACGTCGGGGCAGCCGGACAGAGCCCAGGGCGTGCGCCAGCCTCACAGTGTCTCCTCCTGTGGCCGCAGCCATGACGGAGACCTCGGACAAAGTTCCCATCGCCCTGGGAGGGCCTGACGACGTCGAGTTTTGCAGCCCCCCGGTGAGTAACTGGGGTCCCAGCTCACTCGCAGGGTAAGGGCGTCAGGGATTTGTGCCACCGAATGTGGGGGGTGGGAGCAAGGTGGGCGCCCAAATGTGGATGGTGACGCCCCACGCGAGTGTGTGTGTGTGCGGGGGTCACCGGATCCACAGACAGGTGTGAAGCGGAGGGGGAAAGGGTGTCAGGAGGGGGCGTCCTGTGACCGGCTGCGAGTGCAGATCAACCGGGTGGTGGCCCTGCACCGCGAAAAGTTTGCTTCTCGGACATCCACGCCTGAGTGCCAGGGAGCCCGAGAGGGAGCGGCGCGAAGGAGGGCGCCCGGAGGAGCTCAGGGCGAGCTGTCTCCCACCCCCGCTCCCTCTCCTCCGGGGGCGCTGCGCGGGGATCTCCGGTGCGGGAGGCGCAGATGGGATCGGTCCCCCTCCGTCCCCGCCCGCAGGCGTACGCCACGGTGACCGTGAAGCCCTCCAGCCCCGCCCGGCTGCTCAAGGTCGGAGCTGTGGTCCTCATTTCGGGGGCGGTGCTGCTGCTCTTCGGGGCCATCGGGGCCTTTTACTTCTGGAAGGGGAGTGACAATCACGTAAGTCGCGAAGGGTGCTCAGGGCCGGAGGCGCGCAGGACCCCGAGGCGCGCCGGGTGGTGGGGTCCTCCCTGTCACGAGCATGTTCCCCGCCAGGGGGCGCCAGAGCGCTGGACCTCGCGGGGGTGCCACTGGCGGCTGGCAGGCCTCCAGCCCAGCATCTGCTTTCCTCTAGCAGTGGTTCTCAACCTTCCTAATGCCGCGACCCTTTAATACAGCTCCTCATGTTGTGGTGACCCCTAATTTCATTGTTACAAATTGAACATAATTAAAGCATAGTGATTAATCACAAAAACAATATGTAATTATATATGTGTTTTCCGATGGTCTTAGGCGACCCCTGTGAAAGGGTCGTTCGACCCCCAAAGGGGTCGTGACCCACAGGTTGAGAACCACTGCGGGGGGTGGGGGGCACCTCTGCCTTCTTCCTTCCAAGGCCACCGCGCTGCTTTCTGCTCTTAGGACACTTTGCAGAAAAGAAGTCAGGGCTGTAAGGGGCAATATTAAAACGCAGAGTAGCCGAGTAGAGGGGGAATGCATGGGGCGGTTCGAGGAAAGCCCCTTTCTGCAGAACAGGCTGGCGCTTCCACTGGGCAGTGTGTGACCTTGGATAAGGCACGTCATCCTCTGGCCTCGGTTAACTCATCCTCAGGGAAGAAATGGAACAGCCTCTCTCGGCTGAGAAAGGCTGGGAATTTAAGAACCTGGGACAAAGATAGTGAAGGCCTAGCGTTGGGAACGAATTTGACCTTCCAGGAGTTTCTGTTTGTTTGCTTATTTCTTTAAGTGTGTCCTATTCGGTAACGCGCTTTTCCACCCTGCTCTGGAGGAGGGGGGAGGGTGATGTGTAACTTCCTTAAAAGTGGCAAATCTCTTTAAAAATCCATTCTGGCCTACTGGCCTAGTCACGTGTGTTTTAATGGTGACTGTTTCACGGACTGCTGTCCTACTTTCTTTGTTTGCAACTATTTATTTTAAAGCTCCAGGGGCCCTCGAGGAGCATAAAAGGTGCTTCTAACTTGACTGGGCAGAGTTACAGTGTGTTTAAACAGCCTGAATTTTGTTCACCTACGGAAAGGGGGCATTTTATCTCGATGACCATTTCCCGGGCTGGCAGAAGCTTATTGGACTAATGGAAAAGAATTCCATCTCTGGGATCCACACAAAGGGCAGTTTCTTAATCATCGCCCTCAGAGGATCTGTGACTGCTGTTCCCCCCTCTCTCCCACCGTGAAATTCAAAGCGTGAACGAATCCCAGTACTTAGAGAAAATGGTGCTGAAAGCAATTCAACCATTTTACACATAACATCTTCTGCAGTCGCTGCCTAATTTGTATTTTTAACTCAAATGCCTAATGTAGATAAGCATGCCACTTAGCGCCGAGTCTGTTTTAGAGACTATATCAAATTCACAAGCATCGATTTGTAAGATCAGAATTGCACAGTATTTTGTGTATATTTGAAAAGTGCCTTAATGTATTTGTATTTTAAATATGGAAGCTGGGCCAGATGCTCATATTTGAAAGCAGCAACTAAACATGGGAACAATTTCAATATCTACATCTCCATTAATAGCAGAGTTTAGATTGTCATCCCTTGGGAAATTGTATGGTATTTGAATGTAGATGCTATCTTTTAGATGACAAAACCTCAATGCTACAGGTCACTTGGGGATAAAAATAGCTTTGGGATTTTTTGTGTGGTTTTATTTATTTTTATTTTTTGGTAAAGATTTTGGTCATGTGATATATGTAAATGAATATTATTTGGCTTTTAATTATTCAAGGCAAACACAGCTAACTGACAAGCTTCTAAAAAGAGAGATTGAAAGATCTTACTGAATAGCGTGGGCTCCTTTTTTCATATCTTTTACTTTCTTGCAAGACGGTTGATTATCTGGTTCAAGAGAGCAGTATTAAATTCTAAGAATACAGAGGAATAGTGTATCACATTTTGTTGCCGACAATCAAAGTTATCGCTATTTCCTAGACAGGCAGGAGAATGAAGAACACTGCGGTAGTTTGTTTTCTTTTGTTTTGTTTTTTACTCCCAAAATATTCGATGCTGATCCAGATTACTTAAGTCTGAAAAGCAAATAATGAAATAACTAAATACAGCAAATTTGGCACCATCTCTGCCCAGCACATGCACAGGTCTGCTTTCCCTGATCACAAATCTAAGTAGTCCAAACAAAACATAATAAACAAAGGCAAGTCTCTGTCAAACAGAAAGACACCTCCAACCAAATGGACTACGCAGTCTTTGGGGATGATCTGTAGCTCTGCTTTTCTATTTTGTTTTTAACATATGTTTTTAATGATTTCAGAGAAGAAGGGAGAGGGAGAGATAGAAACATCAATGATGAGAGAGAATCATTGATTGGCTGCCCCTACAAGGAATCGAGCTTGCAACCCAGACATGTTGCCCTGACCGCGGATGGAACCCAGGACCCTTCAGTCCGCAGGTCAACGCTCTATCCACTGAGCCGAACCGGCTAGGGCTGCTCTTCCATTTTGACTTAACCAGCTGTAATTCACCTCCTATCCCTTTCATATGGGTAAATCCCAGGAGGGCAGGTTTACTTGAAGTCAGCTGGAAGACTATGAAGCATCCGAGTGCTAATAATTGGGGACAAGTGTCTAGGCTCAAATACTGAGGCCATGTTTCAGACATAGAACATTATTGTACATAGAACTAGGCATTGGAATATGGGAAATTCCCACCAATATGAGATAGCTGACAACCCTACCCTGTGGGATAGGGTGTGAGATCATTGCTGGGGGCCTTTCTTCTCAGACCAATTTTTCTAGACACTGACCTAAACATTATGTAATTAATCTCAGAGAAGCCAGGCTTTATTAGAAACTCATTAGCAAGTATCCTTGGCTGCAAAAGGCACCATATCGAGCAGAATTTTGGCAAATAATAAACTTCATTGTACTTGGATAGAAATAGCCTTAGGTGCCAGCAGCTCCATCAGTTTAGAGGAAATAATGTGATTACTGCTCCATCAGCCCAGCCTCCTTCTGAGCTTGGGGGCCCAGTACTTTGGAAATAATTTCAGACTGTTTACCACCACTGCCCCATAGCCTCAGGGGCACAGACCTCTCGCTGAGCCCCGCGCAGGCTGTGGGCTGTGCATAAAGGATGGACTGGATGCAGGAGAAAGGATGCAATGCCTGTGCTTGGTCAGGAAGCTTTTGCTGGGAGGAAGGTGAGGACAGGTGGTGGTGGTGGAGGGAAGTGAAATTTTCGACCACAAGCCATTCTTCTAGTGTCGAAATCTTGTCTCCTTCAGACCTGCTAAAAGGTGGACATCATTGATTTCTTAAGTGTTGCATTGCTTCCCTAGTGAAGGCTTATGTGCAATGCTTTCCAGAGAAAGAGCCTCCTGGTGCCTGAGTGAAGGACGCCGTGCCAGCAAGAACTCATAGTGCTGTCTGCCTGCTTCTTCTGACAGTCGTAATTGACCCACGTGAACAGTAGCTGCTCAGAGAGCACAGGGACAGGACAGTCTGCTGTCTGAACCTCAAGAAAGCACTGGCTCGGCCAGAGAAAGCAGGTTTCCCACACGGGCCACCTGAGCTGCCAAGTGAAACCAGGCTGGTGGGCTCTGCTCCAGCTGCACTAAATCAGAACCCCAGGAAGTGGCTCTCTCCTCAGGCCAGCCTGGGAGACCCTGCGCTGCAGGGAGGGTGGCTCAGGAAGAGGGAGGAGGGGTGCAGAGCCATGGTGGAGCTAGCTAGCACGCAGTAGCTTCTGTTCTGCTGAATGAAGGCTGCGGCCTGGAAGGCTACAGGCTAGCAAAGCCATCTCTGCATCTCCACTGATAAAATAAAAGCATGCCCTGTGGGTCTTGTAATAATGAGTTTTCTACAAGTAATGATCCAATAACAGCAGATCCTTTCCCAGTGTTTGTTCATGTAGCAGTCATTCTTCATAAGGAGAAAGAAAATCAGACTTGAATTGAATCTGAGCTATTTGTGGTAATGACCTACTGACACTAAGTAGCAAATGTCTTTCATCAGTTCTCATTCCTTCCCCCTTTAAAGAATTTATATATTACATCCTATATAATAAAAGCCTAATATGCAAATTGTCCCCTCCGGCGGTCATTCAACCGGGAGTTCAACCACCCGCTATGACGTGTGCTGACCACCAGGGGGCGGCACAGAACATGGCAGGCATCCCCCACAAGGCACTGGCAGCAGGCCCTGATGGGCCCCGAGGAGAGCAGGACTGTGGCGGGATGGAGGAGCAGGTGAGCGGGCAGTGCCAGGCCAAAGCAGGTGCAAGCAGGGGCCCAGGTGCTGCCCAGGGCCCAGAGGTCAGCTGGGACCTGCCCTTCCATGCCAGACTCTCCCACTTCAATTGCCGGCCAGGCCTAGGGACCGCACCGTGCATGAATTTCATGCACTGGGCCTCTAGTATCATATAAGAGCTACATTATATATAAAATATATATACATATATATGCCTCTAAGTCAGAAAAAGTAAGAAAGAAGGAAAGAAACCCACCTACTATTCCACAACTCAAAAAACGTTCTAGCAGTCAGCAGCACACTGAGCAGGAATTATTTTTTAAAGTAGTGTACTGCCAAGACGTCTAAACCAAGAGAGCCCTTGGGATCATCTAATTTAGTGGTAAACTTTTTAAAAAAAATTTTAATGGCAGAATTTTTCTTAAGATTTTACTCAGAAATCCAGTACATAAAACAGAAGCCGAGTGGCTCTGCTTAAATTGTAGGTGGGCGGGAAGAAAGGAGACTCACAGTCCCACCTGCTCTGCCACCCTCTGTGAAACATCAGAGCTTTAAAGTCATAAATGAAAAACCACCTATGAGGTCAACCTCTTCATTTTACACTCAAGGCGCCTCCCAAGACCCAGGGATGAGTGGTGTGGCCACCTGTCTTTCCGATTCCTGGACCAGTGCCCATCTACAGTGCCAAGCCTTCCCCTCTCCCCCCACATGTCTCATAACAAAACCCCCTACAACCCCATACGCCCGCACCATCGAGTCATTAAAATGAGTCACTCTCGCCCTGATTGGTTTGGCCCAGTGGATAGAGCATCGGCCTGCGGACTCAAGGGTCCCAGGTTCGATTCTGGTCAAGGGCATGTACCTTGGTTGTGGGCACATCCCCAGTGGGGAGTATGCAGGAGGCAGCTGATCGATGTTTCTCTCTCATCAATGTTTCTGGCTCTCTATCCCTCTCCCTTCCTCTCTGTAAAAAATCAATAAAATATATATTTAAAAATAAATAAATAAAATGAGTCACTCCCATTTTGAGCTGAAACAGATGTGCACATTGACCTTGCTCTCTGCAGATGCTGCTCGATATGCGGCAATCCCAGTCTGGTCTGAAGTCCTTCCTCTATACCAAGTTCCATGCCAAATCTTAACCAAAAGATTTTTTTAAACTTTCAGATTGAGGTGCCCTCTGCAGACTTGTTCAGTTAATAGCCCAGTTAACCTTCTACCTCATCCATTTCCATTTATCCATCAACTCTAGCTGCATAGTGGAATTTCCTTTAAAAAAAAGAAAGATCTGTGTCCAAGCCCTAAACCTGTAGATTCTGATTTGACTGGTCCGAAGGAACCCAGGCATGGGAGCTGGAGATTCTATTCAGATGCATCTACGCAGAGCCAGAGTTGCGAATCACCGAGCTATCTGAATTTGTATCGCAGACTGCCAAAGGTTTTACTGTTTTTTAAAGGTGTTCTCCATTTTTTTTTAAATATGGAATTTGCTTCACAAATTTGCATGTCATCCTTGCTTAGGGGCCATGCTAACCTTCTCTGTATCATTCCAATTTTAGTATATGTGCTGCAGAAGCAAGCACTTTTGAAGGTGCTCTTAAAGAAATCATTGTATTAAATGATTGGTATGTAGGTAAGTTCTCATATACAAATATATTACTCTCAAGGATGATTCAGTGTATCTCTGACAAATGTGAAAGCTACTCATTCACTGCAGGTCCAGAGATAATCCCTGAGTTGCTGTAAAAGGAAAGCTCACTACTCTGTTCACTTCCAGATTTACAATGTCCATTACACCATGAGCATCAATGGGAAATTACAAGATGGGTCAATGGAAATAGATGCTGGGAACAACTTGGAGACCTTTAAGATGGGGAGTGGAGCTGAAGAGGCCATTGAAGTCAATGATTTCCAGAATGTAAGTATATTTCATGCATTTAGAGAGTTTGACCAGGCAGCCTGGGGGCTTTTCCCATCCAGGGAGAAGCATCTCTCACACACATCCCAATGGTCACCGGTTCTCATGGCAGATTCTCTCTGAGAAAGGACTGCTCTTTGTTTTTAATATTTTCAAAATGAAAAAAAAAAAAAAACAACCCACAACACTTTGGCATCGAAAGAACAGTTCTTGGAACTATATGAAGTCTTGGCAGAAACAGGTGCAAGACCTATTTCTTTCCAAGCAGTTATCCACAACTCGGTGAATAAAGTACTCACACTATCCAAGAGGGCAAACTCTTTTTTTGAACTTACAGAGAGGAGGGAGATTTTATTTTATTTTTATTTTTAAATTTTATTTTCTTGTTTAAAGTATTACAAATAGTAGTACACATG